AGTAGACTAGATCATTGTACTAGAATTCAGGATCACAGGGTTCTACTTGCAGAACTGTCATTAATTGGTTGTATAAACTCTAGCATGTCCCTTCCCTTTTTCCGGTCTTCCCTTCCTTCATCTTTAAGACCAAAATATCAGTACCTCTTAAGCTTGCCTCTAAGGGTCTAAGAGTGTTTCTGTGGTAGGCCTAATAATGGTCTCCCAAGGATGTCTACAACCTAATTCCTAATTCCTAACCTATGAATATGTTACTTTACATGACAAAAGGACTTTACATATGTAATTAAGATTAGGAACCTTAAGATAGGGTGAATGCCCTGCATTATCCAGGTGAGCCAAATCAATCACATGAGCCCTTAAAAGCTCTTGGAACTTTCTCCAGCTAGAGCAGAAAGAGGCGAGTGAGACGTGGTAGAAGAGGATATCAGAAAGACTCCAGCTGTGAGGAAAATTTGACCCACCTTTGCTGGAGGGGAGATAAGTCCCAGAAAAGCATGAGAAAGAATGCAGATAGTCTGTAAAAGTAAAGACTAGCCCGTTGACTGACATTTTGCAAGGAAGAAAGGACCCCAGTTTGACAGTTGGAAAGAAATGAATTCCACCAATGACCTGAAGGAGCTTGACAGCAGATTCTCCCTAGAGCCTCCTGTTAAGGGGCCAGCCACCCAACATCTTGATTTCAGCCTTATGAAACTCAGCAGAGAAACAAGTATAGCCACCCTGGACTTCTGACCTACAGAACTGTGAGATACTAAATGAGTGTTGTTTTAAATTGCCATATTTGTGGTGATTTGGTTGGATAGCAATAGAAAATTAATACAATATACAAAAGCAATCCACACAGGAATGTTTTTGAAATCTCATGTACTATAAAAAAAAATCAAGTGAATTTTACATGAAACACGATATAAAACAGTGTTGTTTAACTCCAAAATAATGTTTGAAATGCCCATTGGTTAAAAAAAAATCACAGTTATTGTACACCATATCTTAGAGTATAATGTTTCAAAAATACATACCTTTGAGTAACCCAGGCACCTCACTGTACCTGATAGGATAATAAATCCCAGTTCGAGAAATAAATAATTAGATGGTTTTCAAGTCATTCCTGGTGCTATTATTTTAATGTGATGACATGAAATTTATTAAATTAATATTGACAATATGTATAAATTGAAGGACACGTACAAATACAATTACTTACAACACCGAGAAGGACGTAGCAGACTATAATTTCAGGATAACTCAGCCAAACAACAAAGAGATTTACCTTGTGGCCCACTTGCAAGCAGTGTGTAGCCCTGCCATGTGGAGGTTATGTTTCTCCAGGTTGTCTGATCTGAGCTTCACCCAGACCCTGACATAGTCCCATACCCAGTCAGACAGAATATTGTTTAGTGTAAGGGGGAATAGCAGCATTGTAGCCAAGGCCACATTATACTCCTGGCCTATCGACTATAGCCAATTTTGCTTTAATGTGATGTTAAATGACAACCCGGTAATATGTAGGCTTAACACCACCAAAATTATTCTATGTGGGTTGTATCCATGGCTATAACTGTCCACCTGTGGTATGGATAAGAAAGGTTAGTATAAAGTGGAAAGAAGTAACTTAAGTAGAGCACGTAATGATTTGACATGGAATACAAGTTATCACAATAAGTGATTTGGAGCAGTAGTTCTTAATATGTTTAGACCAATTTAAGAGGAGCAAAAAGACCCTAAGACCTGTTTGCAATACCCAGTGAATAGATTTTGGTATTAACAAAGGCGTATCACTCTACAAGCAAATATGAGTAGTAGGAGATTCTGCATATATCTGCATTAGCAGAAGGGATATGACTTATTCATTCCTGAACTCCAACACACACATATCTTCAAATCCAGATATAGGTATAAAATATTTTTGATTAAAATACGCATCACTACACTTTCTAGAGTTAACCACACAACTCTCACCAAAAAACAGTGATTATAATAAAGCTATATTTTATTATTAAGTAATTTGAAAAGGAAAAGAACAGCTATTGGAAGTCATGAACAACTCAAGAATGCTGCCTTTTCTGCTATTTTCAGGAATTCAAACTTTTTATGAGTGCGCAAACAAAATAAGAATTTGCGGAGCTGGCCCCATGGCTGAGTGGTTAAGTTCGCACTCTCTGCTTCGGCGGCCCAGGGTTTCACCAGTTCGAATCCTGGGTGCGGACATGGCACCGCTCACCAAGCCATACTGAGGCAGCATCCCACATGCTACAACTAGAAGGACCCACAACTAAAAATACACAACCATGTACTGGGGGGCTTTGGGAGAAAAAGGAAAAATAAAATCTTAAACAAAAAAGAAGAATTTGCAACATTGCACACATTATGCATCAAAAAGATTTCTTAGTATAATTCTGAGTCAAGCCCTCAATAAGTATTATTAATTAGCAAGTTTTAGTAACTTAATAGTTTACTAAATAACAGGTAAGAATTAGTATGTTTAAAAAGAAATCTCTGGAATTGCATTACACTGTCATTTACCCATTAGAACCAGAAAGGAATTGTATTTATTGATTTTGGTTTCTTCCCCATTAAGAGAATCCTGATTATCATTTAATTAGTGTTTCATGGGCCAAATTTTGAGAATCAATATTTTACAATTTAAGAAAATCTAAAATCTGACATCAATAATTTCTGTCCAACCAAATTTATGAACTTTCTAGATTCTGGAGAACTTTCTGTAGAATTGCTACAGCGACAGTACCAATGGGCAAGATGCACATGTGTGAAATAGAAGCGGGGGTGCCTGAGAGATTTAATCACCTCTAACTTACTATAGCCTGGCTATTCTGATCTATGAGTAGGAGGAAATTTGTAAATAATAGTGACGAATCTTCATGAAGAAGTCCTCACGAGCGGCGGCAGTAGATATGCCAAAAGTTTTTTTCTTGGTCCTATTTAATCATACTTCACTAGTGAGCACCAAGACACAAAACTATAAAAGGAGAAGTTACCACAGGAAAGAATTTCAGATTTTTCAAGTAAATTTCTCAAAAATTTAGCATTATCAGTAGCTTTCTAAAACTAGATGCTGTGTCCCTGCCAGAAAGCTGTCATTTACTAAATAAACAAAGACAGATGGTCATAATATATAAATAAGTATCACCTGAGTCAAAGAGGTTATGATTTTCTGAGGAATCAAGCAGAAGCAGGTCTAGAAATCTCAAAAATATAACTGTATGGCATGACTCCTTCTGAAATACAATAAAGGTTATGTAATATGCTGTCAAATGGAACCAATGATTTTTAAAATTATTATACTTATGTGTGTAATAATAGTTTAATATTATAACATTGATTACATATATAATCAATCATATAGATACCCTAGAACATGTCTTATGAAATCATCTAAACCGCACAAACTTATGAGTGATTCCTACCCTGATCTTTACAACTGCCCAGCTTGACACATGATAGAGCACTGGGAGGGGAAAATGCGCTCATTTATTAGTTACTCTTCTCCTGAGGTACAGAGCCACTCAGAGAGAACTGAGAGCAACTTTGGTGTTCTTCCTACATATAAATTGTTTAGTAACTTTTCATTCAGCACAGATCCTACCAGAGCAGGGAACAAATACATCTCAAGTTGTAAATACATCTATCGTGAGTTGTGTTCCTGTTCCATAATTCACACTCTTTTCCTCTACAACCCTGTACGTTCATTGGTGATGTAATACAACTTTTCACTGGCACTTACAGTCAAGTCAGACCCTTCTAAAATATTCCAATGTGGGCCCCAAATTATATTATTCTCTTGACGTTCTTGTACACTTTATTTTTTCTTGTCCTTTCTCTTCAGAAGTTTCTCCACATTTGGCATACTTTCTTGTTCTGTTAAACTAGATCGATAAATCAATGTTGATGAGCCTTTTATTACTCTCTCCTGAAGTATATATTCCCAGAGAAATTGTGACCCATCACAAACTCATAATCCCAGTGCCCAAGGGCATACTCCAATAAAGTCATAGGTTTTAAGTTCTCAGAACTAGATTTAAAACAATATTTATATAAGGATATTCTATATTCAAAGCTCAAACTTTTTTTCATTCACCAAGCTGGCTTTATCTAACTTAATCCTGTCAGCACTTGGTCAAATCTCTGATGTCAAAATATTATGTAAGTGAAGATCTGGTACTAGGAGACTCTCCTTTTTACTATATAGTAATTTTCATCAACATTTTCTTTCCGTCCTCATTAACTAGTGCCGTGTGTATTTAGCCAAACAGTGTACGTCAGTGTATTCTATGTGCACAACCATTTATTATTTTTAATGTATTTTGTTTTAACATGGAGGCATTACATACAGTACAGTAGACCAATCTTTAGTATATCGTTTGATGACTTTTGTACTTTATACATACACTTGTGTAACCATCACCTAGATCAAGATATAGAACCTTGCCAGCCTCTCAGAAGACTGTATCCCTTCCCTGTCAATATTCCCACGATTCTAACTAATATCCACATAGTTTGTCTTACCTGTTCTTCAATTTCACGTACATAGAATCATATATTCTTCTGTACAGACCTTTTATCAAACATTCTGGCGAAGGAAAGGAAGACCGGAGCATTTGGACTTCCACTTCTCTTTCCTCCCCAGAGCTGCATAGTGGCCTCCAGGAAACCATTCAATTCTATCCAGGTCTGCAGACATGAACACTCAGTACTTGATAATATGGCAGTTAATGCAAAGAAGCATTTCTTGTTTCTTGTCTTTGGAAAGCCTCTAATTATACCTTTCCAATAAATAAATTATTTTAATTTGTTGGGTTTTACACGCTAGTAGGATTTTTATTTTTAATATTTTATTTCTTTCCTTTTTCTCCCCAAAGCCCCCCGGTACATAGTTGTATATTCTTCCTTGTGGGTCCTTCTAGTTGTGGCATGCGGCATGCTGCCTCTGCGTGGTTTGATGAGCAGTGCCATGTCCGCGCCCAGGATTCGAACCAATGAAACACTGGGCCGCCTGCAGCGGAGCCCACAAACTTAACCACTCGGCCACGGGGCCAGCCCAGGCTAGTAGGATTTTTAAGAACTGACATGTGAATCAGAATAGTTTTGACCTTCCAGAGAAGGGAGACTTGGATATCATCTGTCTGTATACTGGGAATAATGAACCCACATCAGTTTTCTTGGTGAGGTGAAGATCAGACAGAAATAGGAGAAAGCACAGTTGAGCCTGAAGGACTAGCCGTTAATGGGAAAAGAGGTTAAATAGAAACTGAACGAGAGACACAAAATGAATGTTTTGAAAGTTATAAGAAGCAAGAAATTATGATGTCATTGAAGTTAAGTGAAAAAAGAATAACAAGCAAATAGAGAGGTTGATGAAGTAAAATGCAGTAGAAAGAGCCAGTAAAATGAGGCTGGAAAGGGAGGCTAAGAATTTGGGAGGAATTCACTGGTGGCCTTTTGAGGACAGTCATTGTAGAATGTAATAATGAAAGTGAAATAGCAAAACATTAAGAGGATGGCAACAATGAAAGAGAAATTCACATTTTGATATATTTTATTGTTACCTCTTCCAAACTATAGTTTTTCAAAATTGTTTCAGTTTCATTCAGATTCAACATCCATTTAACAAACATTCAACAAATATTTCACAAACACCTTGTGCCAGGCATTTTGGTAGGTACACATCCCAAGCATACATATCCTTACCTGGAAGAAACATTGTTTAGAAGGCAAAACACACACACATAAAGCAAATTAAAATAACATTTATGTGAGTATTCTCATATATGTGATTTCATTCGCATCTCAGATTAACTTTAGGAGATAGAGAGAGCAGATGTTAATCCATTCTACAGATGAGGAAACTGAAAATCAAAAAAATACAGTGACTTTCAAATACTGCCTAGTTAATTGAGACCCAGACCCAAGACTTCTGAGTGGGAACCAGGCCATGTCCGCTGGAACCTAAAAGTCCTCCATGGATTTGTCTGTGGATACAATTTTCCCACTTGTTTTCTGACAGCTTGGACCTTGACTTAGAAGTCAATGATAGCTTCACCAACTTCCTTTTCTGAACTTCTCATCAGATGTAGTTGGATGACGCATATCTGTTACATTCCCCAAGGACAGAGTGATGTGTGGCCATGACAGCTTCAAGCAAATTATATCCAAACAGCTCAGAGTTGAGAAACCTTAGGTAAAAAAAGGTATGGGGGAAGAGGTAAGCAGATCTTTTTTTTAATTTATGAAGATGATGATTCAGAATCTAAAAATACTACATATTTATTTCACCGTCTTATTGCAAATTTTGACCTGCTTATAAAAAAGGAAAGTGTTCACTTTATGTCTTATCTGTTTTGTTGAAATTGACGCTGCTTACTTTTATCTCGTTTGTAAATACCTGTTTTTCTCCATTTAGGCTCATTTTGAGAGTTTGCCATAACATTTTTTTATGATAGATTTGCTTCTTCTTTGCTCATTGTCCCATGTCTATATGTGGATTCTAACTATTGAGAAGACATTTTCCTTTCGATTCATTAGTCCAGGAATGAACTGGATAGTCCTAGCAATAAAAAAAAAAAACTGGATAGTTTTTTTTTTAACATCTAAGTCATAATCTCTTGTGAGAAATGATTTCATTGGTTACTAGCAACCATAGAATAGAAATTGGTGGGATAATAGAATACCAATGACTTTAATTTTCAAATATCAAGAGCATTCCTCATTGTGTCAGAGCTAAATTTTATTCTCAGAACATCCAGAAATCAATACTTTTCCCCCCTTTTTTCAGTCTTCCTGGTGGCAGAGCCTTACCCATAGGAAAGTTAAACATCATAGAAATATAGCTTTCTAATAATTTCCTTAATTTCCCGCAGAGGGGCTGGGGTCCATTAGATTGCTCATCACGTCTCTGTCTGCGTGTCCAGCTGAAATCTGATGCCACTGAGGAATTTGTTGATTTAGCACAGCAAATCTGACTCTGCATTCTTCTTATCCTGCGCCTGCAGTCTCCTAAGGAGCCCAGCTGAGGAACTACTGGGAACAGAGGCTTGGGTTCTAGTTCTCTCTCCTGCCCTAAACTCATTGTATGACTTCTGGAAAGTGGTTTAACCCCCTGGGCCTTGGATTCCCCATCTGTGAAGTGGGGGCTTAGATTCAGAAGGGAAAATGTACATGTGTGTCATAGTAGTGCTTCCCCTGCTGTGGCCAGGGCAGACACTGCTAATCAATCTCTTTCCCATTAAGCCCAAACTTGGTCTCAGACTGTTTCTCAGTATGCTGCTCAAGTGGAGTTAATGACGTGTTGAAACTCATTTGCGATATATGGAACAGATACTTTTTTAGGACTTTCCAAATTCTAAGATTCTGTTTTGAATCTATCCCATGAAATATGGCAATTATTAGTAATTTATGAAGGAAATATTAGCATTACAGTTATATACTAAAAAAAAAATATTTTCTTGCATCTTATGGAATTTATTATAGTTCCTGCAGTTCATCTTTCACATACAGTTGTTTATTTTCACACTATTTCTGTGATGTCGGAAGGCTGAATGTGACCCTCATTTACAGAAACAGTGAGAGATGAGGAGTGATTTGTTGATAGCCGCACTAAAAAAGGAAGATATTTCCACCAAGAGGCCCAAAGTGAGTAGAGGAGAAAAAAAGGAGAGGAAAAAATTCTCCTGACCATAAATTCCATTCTTTATGCATAATTTTTAAAAACTACAATGGACTAGTATCATTACCATAATCTGAATTTGTTTATAAGTAAAAAGATTCTTCAGAGAGACTGGAAGGAAATTTGCTATCATAAGGAAGATAATAATAGATACACTACATAAGGAATAACTTGAATTCAGGTCTTTCCGTGGCAGGACCTTCCCATTTTATATTCCCCCATACCTTCTCCTAGCCCACCTCCGTGCCATTCTACCACTCTACCCTTTGTTTCAGTGTTCAGAATACAATGATTCCTCAGTAAAATTCACTTGCTTGACTATATTTATATTCCTGCCATCTTCTGTTTACTCCTTACTATTCTGAGAGCTTCAGGTCATGGACCTTCATCCCCTTGGCCAGACATTCAGTGGGATTTTCAACCCAAAGAGGAAACAAATATGCAATACATATTAGGATAGCCAGCCCTGGTGGTCTAGTGGTTAAGATTTGACACTCTCGCTGCTATGGCCCTGGTTCCTCTCCTGGTCAGGGAACCACACCACTTGTCTGTCGGTCATCACACTGACGTGGCTGCGTGTTGCTGAAAGCCACGTCACCAGTATTTCAAATAGCAGCAGGGCCACCCATGATGGACAGGTTTCAGCAGAACTTTCAGACTAAGATAGACTAGGAGGAAGGACCTGACCACCCACTTCTGAAAAAACTGGCCATGAAAACTCTATCAATAGCAGCAGAGCATTGTCTGATATAGCACTGGAAGGTGAGAGAATGGAACAAAAAGGTCAAGCAGGGTTCTGCTCTGCGGTACACAGGGTCTCTGGGAATCGGAATTGACTACACAGCACTAACAAAAACAAACATTTTTTACCCATATCTTCTAGATATCTTGAACCATTGAAGAAAGTAATTAATACAACCTCCTTAGTGATTCCATTCCATTCACAATGAGTTCTATACTGTTGGAAGAGTCTTTAGAATGGAAGGAGAAGTAAATATCACTTCATTCAAGCTCTTCAGTTTAAAGATGAGGGAATGGAGGTCCAGACAGGTTAAATGACCTCTCAAAGCCACTCCATTTTCTAATGGAATTTCTTTAATGAGTATATATCTTATATTGAGATATAATTGACATAATATTGTGTAACTTTAAGCTGTACAACACGTTGATTTGATACATTTATATATTGCAATATGATTATTACCTTAGCTTTAGCTAACATCTCCATTATATCACATAATTATCATTTCTTTTTTCTGGTGAGAACATTTAAGATCTAGTCTCTTAGCAACTTTGAAGTATATAATACAGTACTGTTAACTATAATCACAGTGCTTGCATTAGCTCTCCAGAACTTATTCATCTTCTAACCGTATGTCCGTACCCCTTGACCAAAATCTCCCCAGTGTCTCCAACCCCCAGCCCCTGGAAAACACCATTCTACTCTCCATCTCTACAAGTTCAGGTTATTTTAGAATCCACATATAAATGATATCATACAGTATTTGTCTTTCTCTGTTTAGCTTAATGCCCTCAAGGTCCACTCACACTGTTGCAAATGGCAGGATTTCCTTTTTTCTCACCAAAGTGATTCAATTAATATCAGAACCAATTCCAGAAATTGTTTCTTGACTTCTACCAGTCTAGCGTTTTTTACCATACTGCTAAGCTGAATCTTCAAAATGTTATAATTATTTTTCCTTCAGCCAAGTTACATTTTTGAGGCAATAAAAGAAAAATCTTCTCAAAAGTAAACACAGTAAAAGTATGCAGTCTATCTCTTGTCTTTTCACTAGTGCTATCGAGTTCAGAGTGTTACAACATCACAATGATGATATCTAGATTATAGATTCAATTTCCTGGTCGTAGTCTGTGCATCCCAAGGCCCACCTATACATCTTAAAATCATGGGCTTCAGGGAGCTTAGCATGTGATTCTCAATGTATAAAGGTGAGTTTATCATCACTAGTGGGGAAGAAAAGGCAAGACACTGCCTACCAAATGTGCCATTAATTTTCTGCACAAAAGGGCAGCTTATGTAAAGATTTAATCTCACAGAGAAAAGAAATTGTGTATTGTCTATGTTTGGTACTTATATTATTGGAAATGTTAAATTAACCTGATCCTTTCTCCCAACTAATTATAAAGCATAGAGATAGTGGACTATCAAAAAGGTCTTTTAGAATATATTTACCAAGACTGGCTCATGGGTGAAGAATATGGTTTATAAGAATTGGTGAAGAACATCTCATGGCATAGAATGTGATAGAAAATATTAGGAATAGAAATGAAAAGCATTGCCTCAGCATTGTCCCCTGCACAAAATAAACTTCACTTAATATTATTTGAGCAAGATGATACTTCATAACCATCTTATAATCTTAAGTACCTCATAATATAATCTTTAACACTACGTGTGATAATGAGTTATATCCAATAATTTCAGAATATGAAGATATTACAAATGTGAACTTCTGGATCAGATCAAAATACCTGCAACCACATGAGTTTATCTCTACCAACTCTCAAGATCCTTTGAAATGATAGCAAAATATAAAAATAAGAATGAATCAGTAATCATACTAGAAAAGCTGGAAAAATACTATCATCAGATTTCATGAACTTCTGGAAGATATAATGCAGATGGAATCTAGCTGATGAAAAAACCCTACAGTGCTGAAGAACCAGAGATAAAAAGTTAATTTTCCCACACAATCCAAGACTCCATACTATAAAAGAATATTTGCATATTAAAAAAAGATTACTATGAGAAAGAAGCAATTAGAATTCTTGGACATTAGAAAGATGGGCATATAACTTGTACAAAAAAAACAGTAGAGGGGCTGAATTTTTCATTAGTTATACTAAAGAAAAAGCAATTTAGAAATATCAACCTGGATATTCCCAAAATGCAGGGCAGAAAGGCCAAAATAAATTTATGAGAGAAAATACTTATCAAAAATATTTTTTAGGAGCAGAAACATGAAACAGTAAAGAAATAGTCAAGCAAATGATAGAAGCACATTTTCCTGAAGCTGAAAAAAGAATTTGTTGATTAGAAAAGAACCTATTGAATGCTTTAGAAGAATAAAGATGGACCCATTTAAAAATCTACCAATGCCAATGGTAAAGAGAAAATGTCACAAACTTCAGTAGAGAAAAAGGGAGGTTACCCGCAAGGAATAAAGGAACAGATTTTCATGTGTCTTCTTGGTCACGTGGAAAAAAATACAGCACTGCCAAAAAATCCAGAGAGGAAAATTGTCAAACCCAAATTTCTGTATTCAAAAAAACTACTATTCAAATATAAGAGGAAAGAAAGCATTTTAAGAAATAATAAGCCTCAGATATTTTACTACTTACGTACCCTCTGCAATTCTCAAGAATGTCCTGCAGCTAAGTGAAAATTAAATTCTAGGAAGTAGAAATCTAAGATATAAAAATTTGTGATGAACAAAGACACTGTGAAATGTATAGTAAACTAACTGTTGATGATATGGTGGTGAATATAATTTATTAGATAAAGATTCATAGAACAGATGTGGTATAACATTAAGAAGAAAAGCCACTAGAGGAAAATTCAATCTGATTTCCACAAAACTGTTTGATGATGGAAAATGTGAGAGTAAAACATTAAATTACAGTAAAGGTCCTGTTTGGCTGAAAGGAAAGGCTACTAATGCTGATTATTTTCTGAACCTTGGTGCAAAAAATGTTTCAGTGTTTGTTAAAATTTTTGCTACAATCAGTTGTATTAGTTGAGAGAGGCTAAGCAATGTCATAGTAGTAAGCAAGCCCAACTCTCAGTGGCTTAGGCATGACAACAGCCACTTAGGAACCCCAGCTGACAAAGGCTGCATCATCCCTGAAGCCATCACCTCAAGACGAGATGTCGGAGTTCCCTCTGCAGATGAAGTGAGCATGGAGGGAAAAAGAGAGAGAGGAAGAGCATGGAAACCATGCACTGGCTCCCAGATGCAACAGCACGGAAGTCACATACTCATGCTCACTTTCAAAACGACAAGGACAAGTAATCCTCCTTGTTTTGCAGGAAGGAAATGTCGGTGACCACTACTAACATCTACCACAACAGTAGACTAGAAATTAAAGGTAGAACCTCCAAAACTCTATACCAAATACAATGAATGAAAAATGTCATTAATCTAGTAAAAATATGAAAAGTAAAAGGGAAACAGCAACAACAACTACAAAATAGAAAATATATGGTATGTTGTCAGAAATAAAACAAACATATCAATGATCAAATTAATGAAATGAGATATGCCCCCAAGAAAAGAAAAAAAATACTCAGATTGTTTACTGAATAATTAAAGTCAGTAGAATTTTCTTCCTGAGAGGTCCAGGTAAAATGACACCAAAAGCTGAAAACAAACTGATGAGAAAAATAATAAAAGTATTCTAAAATAGAAGGAGAGGAGACAAAGGAAAGGAAGGGGAGGAAGAAAAGGAAGAAATAGGAAGTGGTTATATTTAACATCGGACAAATTTGAATCACGGCAGAAGAAACTAAAGGGAATAGAGATGGTTCACAGTGATAAGAGGTAAACATCCAAGATTCTATAAAAGATGTGATTTTTAATATACCATATAGCAAATAATCAAAACATATGAGGTAAAACAAGTAGAATTGGACATAACTAAAAACAAAGAAGTTGACTGCTCAAGGACACACAAACAGTAATATAGAGAATTTGGACATGATCATCATGCCTGATGTGCATGTGTCTGAGTGGATGCAAGTAATAACATCATATTAATACTCAGGAAAATCTGTATACTTAACTAGCTTCCCTTTAGAAAGGGGAAAATAAAGTAGGCAAAATAAAATAAAAAGGAAAAATAAGACACAATATTAAAGAAATTTCCATAACTTCCCATGCCCAAAGAAGCGGAAGCTACGAATAATATTAGACGTAGCACAACAATCTATGACGTGTCCTAACTTCAGTCTGTCAATCAAAAAGACTGACATGAGATTTTCATACCAGCTCCATATATTTGCATATTCCCATTGTAATTTTTTTTTACTTTGAATATGTGGAGACAACTCTAATTCAGTCTGTATAGGGCTTTTAAAAAATTATTAATGTATTACTCTTATTTGGAGAAACCAGTTAGCAAATCCATTAGCGTTCCTGTGTAGATATGTTTTCATTATTTACTAGTCAATTAGTTTTACTATTTTCAGAAGACACAGAATTCCAGGTAATCATCATCATCACATTATTTTCTAAATTATAACTTTTGCTTTAAAATCTAAGTTCACTGCTCAAGCTCTGTCAAAAATGAACTGACAAGGCCAAAAATATAAATGCCAACAGGACAAGACAGGTGAGTGATGCAGGTCAGCTATAAGACAATAGAGTAAGGACTCTGGAAAACTGGAGTGCAGGTGTCTCATCTTAGAGGGGAAGGACAACTACTTCTCAGCCCCAGCCAATTGTCACCACATAGGAATTGTCACCATATAGGCCCATGTGGCCACATTTTCTAATACTATACCAAGAGAAGCTAGAAGCCCAAATTTTTATGTAAATTAATGTGGTAAATAAATCAATAAAATTTTTCAATTCTATGCAGGAAAAAAAAGTGCAAGGTCTAGTTTGAACCTAAAAGCTGCCAGTTTGTAACCAGGAAGTTCTGGGTATTTAGCCATCTCAGGTAATAACAGGCATGAGTTTACAATTAGCACAGAGAATGAGGGATAGAAGGACCACAGCAATAACCTTTTAACTAGTTAACCCTGCTGATCGTTACTTGATTCTCATTCACTCTCCACAGCAGACAGAGTGAAATGTTGAAAACTCAAATTTCATCAGGTCACTCCTATTTATAACCTTGCAATGGCTCCCTAGTACTATAGGAATAAAGACCAACACCCTTAATGTACCCCATGATGTTCATGGTCTGCGCTCTGCCTACTGCCCCAGCCTCATCTCTGATTTCCCTTCCTCTAGTTCAGTGTGTTCAATCTTACTGGCTCCTACCAGTTGACTAGATATTTTCTCCTTTCCACATAACTTTAACCTAGAAGCTTCTTCTAATTGCCACCCTATCCCTCTAATAATCCCTCAGTTAATATCCATTCAACTTTCAGATCATAGTTCAAATATCACTTCCTTAGAAAATTCTTCCTGGAAACTCTCATACTAGTTCCTCATCATATGCTCTCACATATCTACGTACCTTTTCCTTCCTAGGCACTTATTACAACTTGAGTTTAATCATCTCTCCCATTAGCCCATAAGCAATGGCAGATAAGGAGTGTGCCTGTTTTGCTCATCATTGTTAATCCAGTGCCTAGCCCAGTGCCTAGTAAATAGTGGGCCTGTGCTAAATAATTGATGAATGAAAGAGCTATTGAGCTGCGATGGGAATGCTATGATTTTTATTAACTTTTATAGATCAAGCATGATTTTGGCCTCTCTATCTGTAATGAAATAATTAAAGACAGAAGAGAATATTTGCAAGGCAAAAAATTTAAAATGTCATTTGGATACAAGGACAGGTATCTTTTGGTGAGTCTCTTACCTTTGGGAAGATTTTATTAGATGTTATAAATAAGAGTTATAAACAAGGGAAATGTTTCCAGAGAGATGAATTTGGATTAACGTAGAAATAAACTTAAGACTAAGAGTGTCATGTTTTCACTGTTAATAATATATCACTCAACATACAACAATAGATTTAAAAAAGAAATGAACATCCTGCGGCATTAGTGGCATTGTTTGTTAAGAATGGTATTCATTTATTTTGCACTAAGCCTCCTTCCAGAATGCCCTAATGAACCGTGAAGCAGTAAATATTTAGACTTGAATAAGCGCTCTCCCCTGTATCTGACTCTTTAATTCCTTTATCCTTTTCTGTGTTTGAGTCTGACACTTTATTAACTCTCATTTGAACACCTACCTCTATCAAGTTTGGGAAATCCAATTTTTTCTCTTCCTTGTGGTCTTTACATGAAGAATCACACTTAGTTCTACTTCCAGGCATGTCTCAGAGGTTAAAAACGTAGACTCTACACTCTGGTTGGAGGAGAAAGCAGGCACTTAATGGATATCAGCAGCAATTTTCCCACAAGAAGAATATTCTTGATACTTTAGAAATGAAGCTTTCAGAGACTGATTCTCCAGGCTTCACCAACTTGCTACTCCTTTATAAAAGCATAGTTTTAAAATCCTTGCTATTGTGTTATATATTATGAACCTGATATTTCAAACATGAAATTGTCACTTGCAATCTTGTTTGTAATTTGTGTCTTCAGGATTTAGCTCTAAAGCCTCTTATGATTTAGAAAAATCAGATCATAGTGTACTTCATTCTGTTAAATAGATTGAAAGCTTTCAAGTTGAATCCTTAGGAAGTTTATTCTCTCTCTTAATAGGAGACAATAGAAGGAGGTGAGAAAATGGCAGGAAAACTGTCAGCCCTATTGATGTCTTTAATTTATATCTGTAGGTTCTAGATTAACTTTGATGATAGCCCTTATAACTATTAAAACTAAAGTCATATTCTCTTCTGAAGGCCTATATATACCTTGAGAAAGAGTTGACTAAACTCTTACTATCTCTTTCAAAGAATGATTGTGAAGAAAAGTTGTCTTCAGAATTTTCACTGTACTTTGAAAATTCTTTTTCTCTTGTATAAGACATATTTTGAAGAACAAATGACGTGTAGGTACGACACATTAATAAATAAGTAACCCTCATATTTTAGGTTTACACTACTGACCCCAACTTTAGCTTGTGTTTCCAGTGAAAGTAAAGGATTTTGACAACCCGCCCAGTGTTTTCTCAGAGCACAACTTGCAACATGTGCAAATCATCTGGATGGGATAAGGCTACGATGAGTGGTCATGCAACAAAACAGAAGACTCTAGAGAAATCAAACCCAGAGCTTTGATCTCATTTTCACAACATTTATCCTTGAACCAAAACGTAGACCACCAAAGGAATGGACGATCTGCTCGCCTCTTACCAACTGGAAGACTAGTGAATTTCGCCCTTAATCATGCAGGGTCATTTTTTTCCGGTTACAAAACTGGGTATGTTAAGACTCTTCAGTACTGGAAACTGTTATCAACTCCTTTCCAACACCCGAATGGAGTGGTCTCAACATTACTTGACATTAATAAGGGAGAGAGGAAAGCATTTGAAGCAGCAGAATACCATCAGTGCCAAGTTCCCAATCCATTTCACAAACAGACCAGTAAAAGATTGAGCTCTGTCATCTCCCTCTTCATGCAATTACGCCTCCAGATGGAGAAGCTGAGGCAACATGAATCTGCTTTCGTTGACCCTGCCTGCATCACTGGGACAAACACCAGGCCTGCTCAGGACCCCAGAAGTTCTCTGGCACAGACATTGACAAACACCCAGGCTCCTGCCTTCTGCCTCCATGTAAGCAGGCTTATAGTTCCACCTGCCTCAGGTCCATATTAGGCCCTTACTTCTCTTTGTGCAATTATCACTTTATTACCAATTAATAAAACCAGATTTTACTAAGAGCAGCTAAGGTAAAACACAACTGATGGATTTTTTAATTTTGTTTTACTGTCTTTGCACTTTTCGCTCTAGTTTAGGTCCAGAGACTGATTTTACTATAGATCATTTACTTCTAAAATACGATGAAATCTTCTTGGCAATTTTATTTTACTTCCTTTCAGAAATAGGAAACAAATGTTTATATCATCTTCTTCTAAGCTGGGACCAAAGTCTTCTATGATAAATAAATCTGATACCTTTTTTGCATTACATTTCTGGTTCCAGTTTATTTCATAGCTACCATGCAGTCATAGATAGAGAAATGATTTTATTTTATTGAAAGAACACTTGAAACCAGATTTTTAAATTTTCTCTCCATTATTAAAAATAATAACTGATTGCCGTTTTCCCTCATTTTGATGCTTATTTAGTATTAGAATTCATTAAATTGCATTTGCAGTTAATTCTATTGGCACACTATGCTTTGAGGGCTAATGATTGATCCCTGTATGATCAAGATCGTATTCAGAGAAAAACATAAAGAAAAAAATGTATTTAATGGACAGACCACGTTCTGCAGCTAGCTCGTAAATGGATATCACTGGTCACAAAGGAAAATGTGCAAGGAGGAATAAATATCTCAGTAACACTAACACCTGTTACTGGGAAAGCAGTCCAAGGCTCAGGGCATACAGATGATATATCAGTTGTGCCACCTTTTTATTCAAAGGGCATCACACTTTGTTAGTTGACAATCTGTAAAGTTTAGCTGTACTGGTTTCAGAATCAATCATGCTCATGTTGATAATGGCTGGATAAGTGCAGCATATTTCTGCCTAGGAATCTCCTATTCTTACATTCCACCTGCAAAGCCTAGTTTCAGAAGTAGTTGCCATTCACCCTTTTTTTTTTAAGGGACCAATTCATTGCGATTAAAATTTATTGTACTATTTAGAGAAAAAGTTTCTGAAATGCAGAAAGTAGAACAAACTTGGGCTTCCTACCTTTGAGCTGATACAATTAGTCCAGAAACTGGATCATAAATGGCACAAGGCAATTTTCGTAGTTTAAAGAGAAGACTGTAAATCTAGTTTATCATGTTCTTATAATTCTTTCCAAAACATGTAAGGAAATGTGAGGACCACTGCTAATCAAACAATAATCATAAAATTAGGAACAAAAGAATCACACAGAACAAAAGCCTTTTTTTCTTTTTTGTCCTTTCTTTTTTAGGATTCTAAATCACATACAAAACATTTGTTCTGCTCCAGCTCTTTGTGAACTAATTGGCTCTCCTGGAGGGATAGGTAATTGTACCTGACTACACAAGCTGTCCCGAAGCTCCCTTGGAAAGCTCCAGTAAGCTTCTAGTGTTAGCAGCCATCAAGGATTTCACAGGTCAGGCATCGGATCGATACAGCTAAAAGCAGCAGGGACTGTAATGTCGACAGCAGGTTTCAGAAAGCGCTGCAAGTGCCAGTTTGTTCCTCTTCATGCAGAAGCTCAAGACAGCTTAATTAACCCTTGGAAAATACAATTTATCCAGAGGCTCGGCAGGTCCCTACCAGGCCTTACTGGTGAACTGATAGGAGAGATACTGTAGCTGGCAGCGCTGAATTCCTATTTCCCCCTTTAATGCCATTTCAGTTAGGATGCAAAGAAAACATGGTTTTTGGGGATGTGTTCATCCTGTCCTGAAGAGCATGTGATAGGAGACAGCTTTAGAGGGGGTTTGTTAGAACTCACATGTGACTTCAGCAGGAGCAAGGCTGAGCCTGGGCATTGATCATCCGAGTCCTGGGGTGAGGAATTGAGGGGAGGGGGCGCCTGTCTGCGTGCATGGGGGTGTGTGTGAGAAAGAATTAGATGTGTGTGTGTGTGAGTTAGGAGTACGTGTGTGTGCACGTAGTGTGGGGAACAGGAGGGAAAGCAAAGGCATTTTTCATTTTTTCACTGATGCAAATGCTTCTGTGCCCTCATTTAAGGATATCTCCTTGTTAGTTGTCTATTTTTCATGTCTATAATATCACACAACCAAGAAATTCGCAGATCTGAAATTTTTTTCATCCCCAAATACTTCATTTGGGAAGACGAAACACCTGCCAGGGGTAACACTCAGGTAGAAGTTATGTGTTAACTCAATCGCTCTTCTTCAGTGTTGCCCACCACGCCGTGGGTCTTTTCTCCTACTGCAGTTCTTCCACGCTAAGCAGGCTGCTGAAGAGACGTAAATGAAGCTGGCCAGATATAGAAAATATTTAAAGTTAGTGGGGCTTGAGGAATTGTGGCCACATGAATGGTCTGGTGCATTCAGCTAAATTGATTGTATCTACTTGTATTTGCATTCACATTCACATTAGCCACATTTTTAATTTGTATCATTTCAATTAATTCATATAAAAGTATTTTCCTAGGTTCCTATCTATGGTCATTAGTGAGGGTTCATGGCATTCAGGTTCCAGAACACTGAACTCTCGCATGGATGCAGAATGGATAGATGCCATCTCCTTTCTGCTGGCTCATTTCCATTTATGATCAGAAGCAAAGTAGATTGAAGTGGAAGAAATAAAATTAAATATAGATTAAATGTGCATAGGATACTGATATATTTTAGATCAGGATCCAGCCACAATGTCTTTAAAACAGTTTATAATAAACGTAATACACACAGAGTAAAAACACTTGTATCAGATGAGAGGGGAGGGTCCTGTCCTCCTCGCTCATCACCAGTCTTTCTCCCCAGAGATACAACACGTAGCCATTTCTCTTGCTGGCTCTTTTGTTGCATACCAGCATGCACTTATTCAACAGATACATACTGAGCAGTCACTATGTGCCAGGTACGTTTTTAGACTCAGGTGATAAGCCAACTAAAAAGAAAAAAAGAAAGAGGGACTACATCAAGGAGTTTACTTACAAATGTGAGTAGACAAAAGACAACCAAACAAAAACACATGTGTAATATCTCAAGAAGTGACTATAAAGAAACTTTGAGCAGGATAAGAATATAGAATTGAGTTTCTATTGTTATTGTTTCTTCTAACATAGCCAAGGAAGGTTTCTCTCAAAAGGTGACATGTGAGAGGCCTGGCCTAGTGGCATAGTGATTAAGTTTGCATGCTCCACTTTGGCAGCCCAGAGTTTGCAGGTTCAGATTGCAGGCATGGACCTACACACCACTCAGCAAGCCAAGCCGTGGTGGCATCCCATATACAAAATAGAGGAAGATTGGCACAGATGTTAGCTCAGACTCAATCTTCCTCACCCAAAAATAAATAAATAAAAAGGTGATATTTGAGGAAAATTTGAAGAAAAAGAGAAGTGTTCCATGTAGATATCTGGAGGAAGAGCTGTCCAGGCAAAGGCAGCATGTGCAAAGACCCTGAGGTTGGAGCATGCTTGTCCTGACCACAGATGAGCAAGGAGGGCTTTGTGATGGAAGAAAATCATGCATGGGGGAATAAGGCAGGGTGTTAAGTCCTAGATATAGTCAGGGTCCAGATCATGTAAGGCCTTCCAAGGGTGACATAGCTAGTAAGTGTAGAGTTGGGATTTGAACACAAAAAATAACTGCCTGTTCCTAACCACCCACACTGTACTGAGCCCCTCAAACTGGAGTTTTGTTTTACACATGATTTGTGGTCATCTGTGCTTTCTCCCTTCTGCTCACCCACCTTTACTTGATTAATCAAGAGTTGACTGTAATTCCAAATTAACAGGCTTATTAACTAATCAGCAAAGATAGCCTCATCTCTACCTGAAATAGACATCAGTGCTTTCTAATTGCCTAAGAAAGCAGTGACAGAGGCTTAATCAAGAATTACACGTCTTTCAACAAGACTCCCAAAAGTGTGAATACATACCCAGTCCTTGACGAGCGACACTGAAAAGGACCTCGGAGAATAACTGGTCAACCCTCTTCTTTCTATAGACAAGAAAAGGAAGGCCAAGAATGGTTAATATTTTCCTTTTCAAACTCAGAAAAGTAAACAACCAGAGAGATGAACACTGATCTAGGAACCATGACCTTCTACCTCAGTGTGCAGCACGGACCCTTTTCGCCTTCTCTTCCCTTTCTGACCAGCTCTGCCCAGTCCTCTCTTCCAATTCCAATTCTGATATCATCTTAGTCACATTATGAATTTTTAAAATTTCTTATGGCAGGATATAAGAAAAAGAGGATAAATGAAATCCCTAAACCTCATTTTCATTTTACCACTGTCTTTTCTTCTGCAAAATATTTCACCGAAGCAGCTAGCAAACAAAAGGATAATTTACACGTGTGAATTTCACCTTATTTCTAATTCCTTGTGCCGTGAAGTTCAACAGAATGGCTGAAAAGCGAAGGGAGGGAAGGTGAGGCAGTGTGGGGCTGAAGGCAGAGCACAAGGTCTCTCATCAGGTGACCTGTTTGCCACGTGATTTTGAGCAAATCACTTATGCATGCTGAGCCCTACATTCCTCATCTGCAAATGGAGAGTTTGAACAGATCATCTCAAAGTCTCTGTCAGCATTCGAGGTTTTAGATTCATGCCCTCAAAGGATGAGCACCTACCTGTCACAACTGGTCCCCAAAAGCCATGTACCATCCCACTACTGCTGCGATTTCTGTACATTTCATAGAGCCACCATTTAAATTGTGGCATGCATTTCTAATTAGCACTTTATTAAAGCTCAGCTCATGTGTCTGTAGTCCATTTTTCAAGATGACTTAAAAGAAATCAGAATTTGTGTGCTATTCATTCCCTCTGAAAAGCATATTTTCAAGATGTATTTAGGCAATAGTGCTTTTCCAAAGCATAATTGTATCCTAATGTAAAAACTGCAAATATATTTCTTTTTCCATGTTTGGCAAATCCTTAAATGACCTCACATTTTAGCATCATTATATAATACACAAAAGAAGATGCATCTTATGTGAACTTATACACATAAATAGGATTTTAAAAAATTCTTGACACATTACCGTATGCTGCATGCTTTTTATGGACTATAAAAGAACAGAAGACTAATATACTAACTGAAGTTTGAGAATTTCTCAACATTATCTGAATTTCTATGGCATCTACTCCATTGCATCACACATTCAAATGTCAGTCCCATTAACAGCATCCTCAAAGTATTTATATGTTGACTGCATTTGAACAAGATTTTTCATATTTTCCTTTTACAACCAATCAATGCTAATATGTTTGAATTACAAAAATGAGAGAATGTCAGATTTATTGACAGATGTTACATATTCACATTACAGTTATTGCAATGTTTTTATGATCAAACTAGAAGTAACAGAATTAGCAAATACATCTGTTTGTTTAATGATATTCCCAATAAAACTTTTGTGCTCTAATAGCTATTTAAACTATCATGATACCATCTAAAATAGCCACCCCTATCTTTCTTCAGTTTTTACCTGGCTTCATTTCTCTTCATAAGATTATTACTATCTGAAATTATGCTATAAATATATATCCATAATTGTTAACTGTCACTAGAATGTGAGTTTCATAAATATGGAAAGTTTGACGGTCTAATCACTGTATCTCCAGCACCTACAAAGGTGTTGAGTGTGTGGAAAGTGCAAAGTACGTATTTGTTGAATAAGTAAATGAACTTTGGACCATTTACATGTGTTTGTAAATAAATACACATAACATTAAGTTGACAAATTATGCATATACCTAATTATAGGTATATAGTGTGTTTTGTATAATTATACCAATATAATAAACACATAAAGATGAGGTCAGATATTTGCAAAGTCATCTTAAAGAGATTGAAGGCCTCCACAGCTAAGAGTGAGACCTAGGGATATTTATTTTCCCAGCCTCATTGCAAAAACACTTTAAGGGGGAAATAGCTAAACTGTTAAAATAACACATCAAGCAAAAATGGTATATTAAGAGAACAGGAATAGAAGACAGTAGAAGTTTATAAAAATAGGAACCAGAAATCTCAAAGTTGGCAATGTGCCAGTGAGTACTGCTTAGGAGGCGGAGCAACTGGGGCATGAGGGAAGTAAGATGGGGTGTTTCTTCAAGCTTCACTCACTACCATACTCCTTTACTCTGATTGCAACCTTGCAGAACAGTCTTTTGATTTCGGATTGGCTTCTTGATGAGGGGCGGGGCCTTCCCTGTTTAGCAAATACTAGCGTTACCCTCTCCAGAAAGGCTACCTCTCATAATAAATTAATGAACAGCATCTCTGGTTTATACATGACCTGTATTAGTGTAAGTTCACCCATGAGAGACCACCCGACTCTCAGTATACAACAACACCTTTTTCACTAGATTCTAAGTCTAAGATCCAGACTCTGGATTGAGATGATCCAACATAGAGGCAGAACAGTGACCAGTCAGCCTTCATCCAGCCACATCCCTGCTAGCACATATGAATGGATTCATTAATTTAATCAATGTGAAGTACACTTCAATATATGCACTGTAGATATGCAATACTTTATATCTCTACTGAGGCCTTCAATTTTTCACTCCTTTTTAACTCTTTCCAAGTTATTTTGAGTTAAGACAATGGGCATACATTCAGCAGCTTTAAAGTCTCTGTCAGAGAACAACCCCAGCCTCATAGAGGATACAGGGAGTAAACTTGTTACCACTCCATAGATGCAGAAGTAGACAATGAGACACTGCATCAGAACACTTCAGTTTATTACTCAGTGAACAGAAGATGTGTCAGTCGTCACAGTACCACCGGTTCCCCTTGTCCCTTGAGTCCCACGGGCATCATGATGGACCAGATAAATGCTCTGACACAGTGAGTTGGGTTGCACTGAGGAAAATAAGGTCAAGGGTTTATCACCTTTTGTAGCAAACAGCAAACAAGCTAGTAGGCACATAGTGGTCACCTTGACCAGCTTAGTTTCCCTACTTGACCATCTACAGAATTTGTTCAGTATCTTGAGATGAGACAAAAGGAAAGTAAGTATACAGGTAACAAATTGTATGGAGGGAGGTTTCACCCTTTGAGGACTGTCTTCTGGTTTGTTCACTTGGCATATGTCCAGTTCCAAAATTAAAATTTTCTCCTCTAAACAATATTATTGTCTTTGGTTCTTTCATAGTGACAGCTCCTGTGGAATTCTGCAGGTTGCTTCCTCCATTATCTAATCAAATAACTACAGAAAGTAAGTGTACAAAAGATTTTCAGAGAAAATAAGGCAATGCAATCAAGGTTGAATAATTCTTGAGACAAATAAAAACAGGCAAAATAATAAAACGAATAACAGTTATCAATTCTGCAGAATTATTTTTAAGGCAAAATTACTGGTTTATGGGGCTAAGGGGCGGAGCAAAATGGCGGGGTTAGCTGACCCGGGATTCTCTATACAACAAAATATTGGAAGAACTGAATTTCAGAGAATAAACATAATGACAGCTCATTAGAGACCTACAATACCAAGAAGGCGGAGATCATAAACCTTGCTTACACCCTCGGAGGTGCTGGAATGGTAGGAGAGAACATCGCTCCCTCCCCTAGAGTCTGCGATCGCTGCAGCGCAGGTCAGGAAGGAGCGGGGGAGGGGCCGCGTGACCGGGGGATCATCCAGGACTCCTGCCGCTGGTTCGGTGGAAACCCACTGATGGGGGGAAAGCTTCCATCCGCAGGGACCCCATAAACCAAGGGCCTTGGGAGACCAGAGAACAGAACTGATCTGAACCCAGACCGGCATGTGTGAGTAACAGCCCCCCCCCCCCCACCCCGGCAAAGCCAGTGGGTGCAGCCATCTTGCCCGAAGGTGGAGAGCTCATAACACGCAGCTCTCCATCCTCATCTAGTGGCGAAAGGCTGTAACTGCAACCGAATTCTACCACCATGCAAAAAAACGCTCCTCTACCATCCAGCAATTTATAAAAGCTCCAGACCAGAAGGAAAACAATAAAAACATAGAATTAAGTCCTGAGGACTTGGAATTAGGTAAACTAAGTGATAATGAGTTTAGAGCAGCTATAAAATAATCAAAAAACTCAATGAGGTAGAGAGAAAGATAGAGAAACAAACAGAGTTCTGGAGTTACTTCACAAAAGAGTTTGAAATCATAAAGAAGAATCAAACAGAATTACTTGAGATGAAAAACACAATGGACCAGATAAAACAGAATACAGATTCCCTGAATGCCCGTGTAGATACCATAGAAGAGCAAATTAACATAATTGAAGATAGGCTGAATGGCTCCAGACAGAGGAAGAAAGAGAACTAAGAATTAAAAAACATGAGGAAAATCTCCAAGAGATAATGGATTCAATGAGGAGTAAGAACATAAGGATCATAGGAATTCCCGAGAATATGGAAAAGGAAAATGGAGCAGAAAGTGTGCTTAACAAAATCATTGAAGAGAACTTCCCAAATCTAGGGATCGACGGAGAAATGTGTGTAGAGGAGGGTTTTAGATCTCCTAGATTTGTCAATGTAAAAAGAGCTACCCCAAGGCACATAGTAGTAAAATTGGCAAAAAGGAAAGATAAGGAAAGAATACTCAGGGAAGTAAGAAAAAAAAAGAGAATAACCTATAAAGGAGCCCCTATCAGACTGTGAGCAGATTTCTCTACAGAAACCCTACAAGCTAGGAGAGAATGGAGTGACATATTCACAGCTTTAAAGGATAAAAATCTTCAGCCAAGAATACTCTATCCAGCAAGAATTTCCTTCAGATATGAGGGAGAAATTAAATCTTTTCCAGACAAACAAAAGTTAAGGGAATTTGTAACCCAAAGCCCTCCATTACAAGAAATCCTCAAGAAGGCTCTCATACCTGAAAAAAGAAAAAAGGGAGAAAGGGGACACAATCCACAGAATAGGGAGACCGATGGATAGAACCAGAACAGGATAGCAAATATTCAATTATAGCATTAGAGTAAAGGTAAGGAAACTACCAAAGCAAGGACGATCTTATCACTCTAATTA